CCATCATTTCCATCCTTTCATTTGAGATAAATGTCCAATGCGGTTTGATGCTAAAGACAAAATGGTTCTTCGATATTAATGAACGAGAACATTTTTAGTCAATTTCCGAAATGCATGTGTAAGTTATAAATTGCTTCATAATCCTTGGGAAAGCAAGAGGTGGATGGGTGAAAGAACTTGTTCTCAGGGTTATTTCATCAGGATAACCATACCATTCATGAAGTCGCGGTGTTTGAGGGGAAATGAAATTACTGACAACTGGTTGAACACACGAGAAACTAAGTGGATACATGTGGCATAGATGGGATCACAAAATGTGTCAAATAAAGCGGTAAGAGAGTTGTGATCGTGACGGTTCCCCGATGGGGAACCAGTGATCTGGGGTAACCGTGAAAATTTTGTGCAAATTCAAAGTCGGCTCAAAGAACCAAGATAGCCTCTGTTGTGAACAGGGGCCAAGAGCAAGACAAAGCAGAAAAGGTTGCATAGAAGACAAATAAATGAATCATTTCGCCTGTAGTAAACTATGCTGGATGACGCTCTCAAATGTTTAAGTAGATATGCGCGACGCACTCAGGGTATTGATCTAATGTAAACGAGTAAGATGGCGGGTGAAATGTGAAAGAAACATGTGGATAAATTAGTTTTCAACTGGAGAGGCATTAAGGGTGTGGAGGCAAAAATGTGCAGCCACACTGCAGAAAATTTTCTGCACCGAGGTAAAATAATTTGTGTTTCCCAAATCTTTATGACTAGGTCCCGCTTGTCGGAAATACAGCGAACTATTCATTTAGCGGAACGTAAAGAAAAGGTGTACACATTTTTGTGATGCTTTGCTGGAAATTTATCACGGCCAATTCTAAACGATCTAGTGAGTCAAAGTGCGTCAAACTGTTTACTCTACGCCGATCATATCTAAGTTTGGCGAGCGATCAGAGCTCCAGAAGACCCCATCCAGATTCAAATCGACCTTGACAAGATTTATGGATGATCGGTCCAAAGTCGCCTTTTCATCAATCTCGCTAAATCTCGAGTGCTCCATGTAAGACACAGAATGGTTCACACATATAAGCTGGGGGACCAGGATCTGCAACAATGTGCTCTCGAAAAGGATCTCCTTGCGTTGGTTCAGGAAGATCTCCGCTGATCGGAGCAGTCCACAAAGGCATCAAAGATGAAGATCCAAATCGTGGGGCTTTTACAGAGAGCTTTCGGGCAATTCAAACCGTCGATCTTCCGTCAAATACTTCCCGCTTATATACACCCACATGGTAAATATGCAACTCAAGCATGGAACCGATGGTTAAAGCGAGATCTCACGGACTTGGAGCTTCCAAAACGTCGAGCTTCCAAAATGTCAAGCGACTGCACCACTTGTCATACGAACAGCGCCTCATTGCTTCGCATTTTCAGTAGACGTTATCGTCCTTTGCGTGGGGAACTAATCACGGGTTATCAAATATTAAACAATACTCATCATCCCTGTCATGACCTACTGAAGCTGAGTCAACAACAACAAACTGAGAGGACATCAACCCAAATTGGCAGAACAATACAAACGGTTGGAGTGTCGAAGAAACTTCTCGCTGTGTGTTTGCCACACGTGGAATACCCTCTCAGAAGCTATTTCAACTTCCACGTTAGCCGCGTTCAAAGCACGTGTCGACAGTGCACCGGCCACACTACACCATGTCACGTAATCCAAACGACCCATAAAAACAGCAGGAAAACAAAAACAAACCAACCCACCTCCTTTTTGTCCGAAAATCACATACGATAATCTTGGATAGTACATAAAACGGACGGGAACGCTGTAATCAGAAAGTTCGCAATTTGAGTTGTTCACTATTTTCTATTGCCATTTTTGCCTTTATTTTGCTCACCCCTAACCGATCATCCGGCGGGACATGTCAACCTTCGGCTTCTTTTATCCGCAATATACCATTTACCATTGTGCCTCTATACAGTCATCTAAAGAACGCTTAATTTGATTTTTTTCGTACCCTTTAGACGCACCAAGTAAGCTGTCTGCTTGTGGAGCAGTGCTAACCTGACATGGTCGTAACGGATAATCTACTCTGCCCATGGGTATATCCATTTGTGACTCATTTGGTAGGCGTGACACTTAAAAACCCGAAAAAGTAATGCCCTCAAGTGATATTGGTTGTATGAAGAAGAGCATATCTACAAGTAATGGGGAAATCGGACTACTTGGGTCCAGTGTACAAAGTGACCTGCAATACACAATAAGAAACAATGCTAATAAGGGACAGATGATTCAGTTAGTTTACATAACACAATTCTCACCGAGTTAGTATTGGATACGTCGAACTACAACGGATCTAGCAACGAAATCAGCCATATCCTGCCTGACTACAGACCTAGGCATGAAAATGGAGTTGAACGGCTAGACCCAACAACGAGGGATTATTAAAATTCACCAACTGGTAACCTTAGCTCCTCGTCTGCCATCGAAGTAGCTGCTGAATGCATCATCTTTTGACCAGAATAACCACACACGTGATGACCACAGCTAAAAGAATGTCACCAAGGGGAAAGGGAACACGAACTATAAGCTGACCTCCGTCATGGTTAGTCAAGTAATTCGGTTCGATGAACTGATCGTGTCCAAAACATGTAGAAATGTATCTTAAACATCCAAGATCAAATGGGAATCTGGGAATCTGTAGTAAAATATTTCCAGAAAACCGGTGAAGCAATGGGTCGAGTGTGTTTTAAACTGATAATTTATTCTTGTAGCATTCCTCATAATAATTGTAAGGACTATAAGTGACCTACCCATCCTTAGCGGATTGGCACATTGGTACAAAAGAACATCTATATAGATCTGATCTAAAATTTGATAGCTCGAGCTATCCAGCCTCAACGCCTAACGCTTCATGTTACCTTAGTCGTTGGACTATCAGTAACTCTTCCGCCGCTGATATCTGGGTCAAACGGGAACAGTCTAACTGTGCTAGTACAGCCCTAGAAAAATAAAGGATATCAACAGTATCCCGGCGTGTATCACCGGAGCTACGCTGCCACGCAACCATCACCAGTCACACGAGCGCTAGGGATACTACAAGGCCACCCGCACGTACGCAAATTCGAACCGGTAACCTTTAGGTAGACGCCTTAGCCCTTCGGTCACCGGCCGGGATATAACCCATACTCAGGCGCGGAGGTCTCAAAAACATCGGTGTTAGAGGAGAATGGTTAAATCCGACTGCTTGACACTTAATTGCATATAGTGAAACTGAACCCTTGGCAGTGTGTCAACGGTGGATCGACCAAGGAGTAATAAAGACAGAGGATCAACGTAATGTTGAGGATCCTATTGGACTGGGGCGATGGTCTTGAAAGGTTTGGTTCTGTCGCCCAAATACTACGTGGAACAGACTGCAAGGAAGCTTGGCACAAGGTTACACGAACACAGCCTAGCCATTCGTCGCCATGATCAGAACTCCCTGATGTCTGTGCATATGGATACCGAAAACACCCAATTCCACTTGAAGCACGCCATCCACGGAAGGGCCAAAAGCCGGTAAGCACGTGGGTCAATCGAAGCGTGGCATTCAAAACAGAACTCGATCAATGAGCACTTGGACCTCGAAGTTATTTACGAGGCACTGCGAATCAGGCCCCTGAAGCCGCACTGATGTTGCCTAGTCCGGCGATAAAACGTTTGCAAAGCAGTCAGTTCAGAGAACAACTTGAAATCCACATGTACACCCAGGACTACGGATATTATCAGCTATTTCAAATCCGTCATCGTCTAGTTCAGCTGACGACACAGTGAGGGCAGTGCTCAGAGATTCGACAGCGAAAACTCGATGGTTGGCACCAAGGCTGGAGCTGCAAATGACGAGATATTGATGGATGCCATAGATGTCCCTGGGGGTGACCATCTCTGGCCCCAGTGAACATAGATTAGTTCGTGCTGTGTTTCGAGACAAGACTTAGTCAAACGAGGAAACCTGAGAATGAGGGTTGATTCGTTGTGGTCTTTTAACAGACTGAGCTAGCGAAACTAACCAGGAAAGGAACGCTAAATAATTGTGCATCTAGTACGCATAGCAAATGTCGCGAAAGCTATTCAACTGAATAAGTTGACCGCGCAAGTAAGGTGTGATCACCAGACGAATGGGTGTGGACAAAGTGTGAGCGCGGTCTTACCTGGAGAGACAGTAACCAACATTAAAGTTAAGCCCACAGCCATAGCATTGCAGTCTATGCCAAGTGCACTGCATGCATGGGTCATATGGATGGGTTATCAGCGCCCGGACAGTTTCTAAGCTGTGTATATCGGGGACCAAATTCGGACGCATTTAGCTTCAGTGGAGTCCGATATCTGATGAATGGACAACAAGAAAAGGTGCGCCCGAGATGCACTGAGGATATATTGTGGCAGGATACGCACAAGCGCATCTATAACAATGTACTTTCGCACATACCGCAAGCCCGAAAAGTGAGGCGACCATGCAAAAATCAAGCCTAAAGCAGCTAGCACAAAACATACAAGGAGAGGACCGTATGAAGAAACCAATGAGTAAGTAAAAGCGCAATCCGAAGTTGCAGGATAGATTCGACACGATTCAAAACATGTATCTATTCACTTGATAACAGGTCTGGCGGTGGCTTGGGTTATGCAGTTTGGGCAGAACATCGAATTTTGATAAGTCTATTGGTTTATTAAACCACAATGGCTGTGATCACAAAAACCATAGGTAAGAGCTGCATACTATTGTGGCGCAAATCAGCTATGTACCAATAGCAGGATAGGGCTAGCATTGAAAAGCCGAAGCTCAGTTTAATCGCAAATAAAAAATGAATCAACAGAACACCTAGCACGTGAGGCGTAAACGGGGGTTTGGTAAAACGTGCGGGAATCGTGCTGCTAAATAATGGAACGGATTGAGATTGCACCACGGGTTGCAGAACAACTCAAACAACCTTCGGTGGAAAACGAGCACACGGGTGGTGGGCAAGAAACGCACACTCAAAAGTCGTGAGATACGATTATCGTAGTGGCATTGAGTACTGTTGCAGGGGAAAGGGTAGATGCAAGACCACATAAACGGCAGTCACAAGCCAGCGAGAATCTTACACCTTGATAAACAATCTATGCACTGAATGATTTTGGCTAAACATGAATCTTTAAAAAGCAAAAAAAACGCGTGGGTTATAGAACTGTAGGTAACCAAGTGCAGGACATATTGAGTCAGAAACCTGATAATCTGTCGAAATAAAACATTTATTCATTTATTCATAGCGGATTCAGTAGTGTAAAAGGTGAACGAAGTGTACCAGGTCAGACTCACGGTGTAAGAAATCGGACCGACTGGACTTTCTGAGCCTCACAATCGAGCGGCGCGACCACGTGCACTGCACGCCATGCATAGCCGGTCCCTGGCCTTAGAGCATCTGGTTTGCAATTGGTCCACGCGGCATGGGCCATTACTGCTACGACCTTCAACCGCGCCAGCCTGATTGGTGGACAGATCTATCATTGTTATTGCGGGGCGTAGCAGTGACTAGGCCGGTCACACCAGAACCAGCTCGCCACCCACCTGTGATTGTGCATTGCAGCAGGCAGCTGACCAACACGCTCTAGGCCCCACACCCAACCCACCCTAATCGTGTCCTCCCTATCATGAAAGATGTTCTCGGCCGATCCGATGGATGCGCACTGCTGATGTTGCCTAACAGGCATGTGGACGGCTATCTGATTTGGAAGCTGGCTGTGACGAACCTCTTATCTATACCAAAAAACGTACTTGAAAATTTCCTGGTACAACAGTGTAGACGCGATAATAAGTTCATGTGCATGGACACAAAATGCAAGTCAGACATTTAGAAATGTGCACAATATCGTAAGCATATGTCAGAGAGCAAATATTCTGCACGGTTGTGATCTCCAGCAAGTACACAAATTTGTGTGCATGTATTAATAACAAGGGGACCAGCGCTAAAAGTACTAGACGTGACTGTAACGGCAAGTGAAATACTGACCAAGGAAGAGGGTGATTCAGTTCTCAAGCAAATAACTAGTAATTTTAGTTATTTAATCGGTCGTAAGGGTTCTATGGCCATAATAACAATAACTTTTGAATAATTGCAAAGTCCTGCGCATGGTAGGGTATCGTGAGTTGGAGGGTCGGATGATCATGATGACCAGCTAAGCGCCGGGATGTTTTTTTATAGATATAAGGAATAAAGGTTGGCAAAGATGCACGCGGAATGTGGGGAATAGCCGTTTGAAATGATATTTAGAATCAGGCTCAGATAATGCTCTTGGATAATCGATGGGAATAGATGCAAAGGTAGCAGGTGAGGGGGGATTATAACCCTGATAATTGGCAATGTAGAGACGTTATTTCCAAATTTTTTCTAAAAGGAGAGAAGGGGTTCGTATCAAGTATCGGACAAGATGTCTGAAGACAGGTAGGCACTTTGTCAACACGCATATCAAGCGCAGCCACATCAGGATTATCAAACAACCGCCAATAACTTGAAACGACAGTATCAAATAAAACAAATCAAACGATGCGTACAGCTGTGCCGATATAGCTACTCATTAAATGAGCAAATGAAATTAAATTAGTTGCCAAAATTCCGCTATATATTCAAGACGTCAAAAAATATATTTTATGAAAATGCCACAAACATGCAAATGTTATCAAAGGTAAGTACAATTAACTTGAGCGACTTGTGCAATTGCATAGCAGTTAGTTCACGTATCCATTAATGAAACAATATAGCAAACTCGCCACTTGGAATAAAGAGACTCAGCATGCAGTTAATAAAGCGAATGCAGCGTACCTACAAACCCTGCGCCGGTTTTGCTTTCGTTCTCTGCAGAATCCGTCGTCGTTTCGGTAATGGCCCCTAGTGGCCACGCTCATGAATCACTAGGCCTGCCTCACTCAGGCACTCGCGACTGCACACATGACCGACCTACTTCAGGTGTCATAGCAAAAGTATGCAGTCAACTGCATACATTCCACCTCGGTGCAACACTTCCGTGTCTGCAACTCACTCGCACCAAAGGATGCGCATAATACGTCGCAAACACTATTGATGGACCGTTCGAGATATCTCACATTCCGAAGGTACATCGTTTAGGTTTCGTTACTGTATAGAAGAACGGACAGCACCACAGATCTGCAGACCATCAGCTTCGTGTCCACGGTAAGCTGGTGTTTGTCCCACACGCAGTACTCTAGCCTCCCCAAAGTCGTCGCTGCATTCGAGACGCGGATACGAAGCTCACTGTGTAGCTGCTGGTCAGTCGACATCACACTTCCAAGGCAGCAGAAGTGGGAGGTAGATTCCAACAATTCATCACTAATGCTGATTTGTGGCAATATTGCAGATAGTAGCTCAGGTGAAGGCTGAAAGAGACAGAGGATTTTGCTTGCTGTCACTGGCCGCTGTCGAAGCCAGAGCACTAGTCATTTGCTGCCACAGATCCGCTCTGTGTGCAAACAACGCACAGTCGTCAGCAAACAGCAACATACGGATAATTGTCTCACAGACTAGAGTTCTCGCACCGAAACGATGGATGTTCAGCAGCCCATCACCAATACGGTGCTCCACACGAACCCCGTAAGCACAAGCCTCATCAAACGCACAAGACATCATTGCATATTTTTGCCAAAGACAGGCAAATGACCCCTAACAAGCTAAAAACTGCTCGCGCAGAATTCAAGCGCATGCTTAAACTAGGCATCGTTCGCCCGTCTAAAAGCCCATGGGCGTCGCCGCTCCACATGGTGTCCAAAAAGTCAGGAGACTGGCGTCCATGTGGTAAATACCGCGCGCTCAATAACGTTACTGTTCCCGACCGCTATCCTATTCCTCACATTCAGGACATCACGGCAAGCCTGCGCGGCACCCGTGTGTTCTCGAAAATTGATCTGGCTCGCGCGTATCACCAGATTCCAGTCGCTGAGGAAGACATACCGAAGACTGCCGTAATCAAGTCGTTTGGACTCTTCGAATTTTTGCGTATGCCGTTCGGTCTTCGCAACGCAGCCCAGACCTTTCTATGATTCATCGATTCAGTCACTAGAGGTCAGATTCCGTCTATCCATAAATCGACGATATCCTAGTTGCCAGCGTTTCTAAAGAACAACTTTCCAACAGGCAAACCGCCTATTTCCCTAATATATAAGAAAGCTATAACTTGAATATATTTTAGAATAGTTTACAGTCATACGGGGGAATCCTAAACAGGGTTGGAGGTAAGACACAGCATTGCTTCGCACCAGAGACAACTGCAAAATCACTCGAGGTCTCTCCAATCACCTGCACCCTCGCCCGCATACCAATGTACAAGCATTCAATTAGACTTACAAACTTACACGAGCAACCAAACTTACCCAACACTAGCCACAATGCCTCGCGGTTCACCGTATCAGATGACTTGGTGAAATCAACAAACAGCGAGTACAACGGCTGGTGTCGTTCTCTGCACTTCTCCTGCAACTGACGAGCCGCAAACACCATATGTATGGTGCTGCGACCCGAACGGTATCCACACTGATCTTTTGCCACGTTCGGTTCCACAACCTGACTGACGAGGCGGTTGAGCAGGATTCGGGCAATCACCTTGGTAACACAACTCAGCAAGTTGATGCCACGATAATTCGTGCAACATTGCTTGCTCCCTTTGCTCTTGCACAGTGGTAGCACAAGAGCATTCATCATCTCAGGAGGCAACTCCTCCTCAATCCATACGCGATGCATCAACTGGTGAAGTGCAGTCACTATCGCGGGGCCGTCGTGTTTCAATACTTCAGACGAGATCCCGTCGGCACCAGCACGCTTGTCGTTTCGCATGTGGTGAACGCACCAAACATCGAGACATTCGAAAGACTATTGGACTTGCACTTACATGATACACATTATATAACGGTATGACAAACTGCAGTGTCTAACTTACTGATATTTTTATGTCACACCTGAAACTTTTGTTTTCTTCCCTTTGCCATCCTGTGGGTCTTGTAAAGTTATTGCTTTTTATCCCACCATACACTATTGAACTATTGAAGTACTCTCTGCGTATCATCCACTGTCGGCGTGTCCGCTAGGCGCGAATTTACATCGTTCTGCTTCAGGTCGTTCAAAGTAGGCCAGTCGATCTCGGAACGGTTGTTCAAGAGACAGCCAATGTTATTCCGCCAGGTATGCATTATGTCTGCAATCTGTGTACAGGTAGTGCCTGAACTACCATCAAGTACTGCCCTCATCGGCTCAAAACTCCGTCCATACATCACCTTCAAGCAGTCAAAGAATTCCTTGTGTTGGCGGCGTTCGGCATAGCATTCCATCTGTTTCGCCTTCTCCGTCCACCATGCATTTTTAGTGCGACAGAGCTCTCGGGTCAATGGTCGTCGAATTCTGCGAAACTGACTCTTCTTCCCCAAGCCACTGGGGTCTGCGACATGTGCGGCAAATGCTGTATTCTCATATACCAATGCGCCAATCGTCGCATTGTTCTCATTAAACCAATCACCCCGAAGTCGATGGTCTCCTTGGCAGCACATGTCACTTGGTCGCGAATGAACAATGAACTCTGAAAAATGATATATTACAGGTAAAAAAGCGATTGCTTTACAAGTCCCGTAGGATGGTTGAAATGAAATGTAAATCGTCAAGTTAAGCGTCTAGGGATTCAGATGCCCTTCTTCATATAAACATTTTAGAATGTGCATTGAACTGTTAATGTAAACTAATATGGGGAAGTGAGATGGGGAAGGCATGTCTTAAGGTCAAAAGAAACGATAACGCTTACTCGTGTGTCGCTTTCTTGGACTGGGGTAAATTGATGAATGCAGTTGTAATATATCCGAAACTATATTCCACAACAGCAGTGTGTAAGTAGTGAAGCACAAAAGCCGAGAATAAGCACCGTTTGTTCACGTTTGGTAGACGTAGGCATCTCTGATTATATGGCGTAATGTAGGTGGATGAGCGAATCATCCAAACGTCTTTTGCATACCGTACCGTGGTGGAAGAAACAACGTATGTGGGATGAGCTTTCCAGTGTTGGCACACACACAGGGGGAAA